CCCACAAATCTTTTGGGCCCATTGCATGGACGGTTGTCCAGTCGAAGACAAAGAAGAATAGCGCCGGNTCTTACTCTGATAAGAACTGTGAATTCTGCAGATTCTTCAACATATATTCTCACTCGTGCAGTTGTGAACGAACAGTAAGTTCGTAAGTTCGTAAGTTCGGCAGGCCTATCGTTAGTGTACGATAATAACCATAGAGACTCACGATTTTCAGAGTTGAAAGCAATGAAGAAATAAATAAATCAAGCTGGTATTGTCTGCCATAACTTGAAAGGTATTCTACCATGTGGTGCGGTGTGCATATTTGACTAACGCAGAGTCTCCTCCAGCGATAGCCTCGTTGATTTTGATCATAATGACGACTCCTCATAGTTGAAAAGCGATCGAGTTGTATTGCACAGAAAACATAGCGGCAAGTTCAACCACAGTGATCCCTGTAGTTCTTGAAAATCCTTCTTTCGCCTTTTTTGAGAATGAGAAGAATGGATGGATGGATGGATGGACCAGTTATTCGTGACAAATATCTCCGGGAACAGAACATCACAAGTGACCTGTCAATCAATAGAAACAGGCAAGTCTTGAAGACTTATGTTGAGATGCCTTCCTCACAGGCTGATTTTCCATTCTGCATCTGTTTGATTAGCTTCTGTATTTCCGTTGTACTTGTCGCTTCGCAGTTCACGTCATATAAACTACCAGTCGGTTGTGCTGTTAAATGATTACCTAAAAAAATTGTTAAAATGTTCTCCCCGTCTTTCTATCTTATCAATCCGTTCTGGAATCAACTGGCCTGATGCTCCATGGAGAAGAGACTCGAGCTTGTAGCGTTCATTTGATGAGTTGTGGATTAGTCAGAAACGTTTACTCAGGTAATCGATTTTCTGACATCATCTCCATTTTCTCAGCATGTCTTACGGTTGGCCCTGATGCAGCACGAGGCCGCTCTTGGAAGTCCATGGCGTTCGCTGTTTTCCAATGGGCGGACTTCACTTACTTTGACTGATAGTTCGTAAATAGGGTCGTAGGTACAGTCTTTTTGAAGTCTTGTGTTTCCTCCGAGCTCCCACCAAGAAACTTCACTAGTGGTCACCTTCTTAGCCTGCTTCTGTTTTGCTTCCGCCGAGGCTAAATCCTTTTCTGTGTTACCTTAAGTGGTTAGTTAAAGCTGTATGACACGAAATTTTCTGAGCAGCAGCAATTATCTCATTGTGTTGTACCATCTTAGTGGGTATGAGCTCGTACAAAGGGGAGTGATTTGTACCGCCCATGTTACTACATCGTGGAGAGGTCGACAGATGAGGTTTAGCAGGATCTTACAAGTATGTGATCAAACCGATGCACTGCATGGCTCTCATTTGAGTGCCGTGCCATCAGGTATTGCAAATGCATGCTGCAAAACGGCCAATCTGCCTGTGTCTGCCTAATTCACCAATCAGGATCCGTTCTGACAACATTCCGGGTGGTGATGACCAAGTGGCCACCTAATTGTGACCCGGAAGTCTCGGGTTCGAACCACTCCATTCCGCTGATCGTTTTCTCTATTTCTGTATTTTTCCAAACAGCCTTTGTATGGCTGAAGCCTCCTTCTTGAAATTAGATTGAACATTTGAATGTTTAGCAAATAGAAAAGGCAGTAAAAAGACATTTAGGTTTTTTTTATTTACAAGTACAAATTTTCCCGGCATACGAAGAATGGATTCACAGTGTGCGCACGCGTTCCAGGCTCATTCAGCGAGAAGTATGCCTAATTTTGATACGCGATTAATATGTTCTTCTAAGGTGTTGTAGAATTTGTAGTGAACCTAGCCTGCAAGATGACGCATACCACGGAGCGACACGTTACAGATTTTCGGACAACTGTGATCAATCAAGCTTCTCAGTTGACGTCAGCAAAGAGCGCACGTGTCACAGCTTCTGGACTTCAAACCACAGACCGATTGTACCAACCAATCAGATACCGTGCGCGACCCAGGCAGGAGCTGAACAACATCAGAAATACCAGCATGCGATTGGCAAAGGCTTGGAAGACCAATGAACTTGTTTTGTACGTATTATTTAATCTCCCTGATTTCTTTCAAAAAAAGAACTGCTATTTCTGTAGTCTTTTCTTCGCGTCTGGGATACTGGGATACTGTCTCGCTAGTACCAGTGTGATTTAGTGCTTACGTGGTGTCCGTGGCTGCTAGTCCATGATTTCTAATCCGTGATTCGTACTTCGGGATCAGTGCGTGCTACAATTACTGAAACTACTAGTGAATTATTCTTTGATCCCATTATCGGATACGTTGATTGGTGCGCAGATGACGATCACCGTCCGCTTTCGGGCTGGGGGGGGGGTGAAGAATTCGATTCAGGCAGGAGAATATCGGGTGCCACGAAACTACCAGATCAATTGTTGATTGTTTTTTCTCGGGCGGAATGTGACACTATGCAGTGTGGTGTTGTTTGCAGTTGAGCTGTGACAGAACCAGCGGACTGTACCTAACCGTGGAGTCTTGATACCTCGGACACCGGGGTTCGCAAAGGAAAATTCTGAGGGGACCGCAATGTCTGTGTGATCGTCATGTAGGGTATACACCATGATGTTTTGGCCGTTTGCGTGTCTGGTGAGGTCCTCACTTTTCAACAGGCTGGAGATCAGCCTGTCTTTTATAATTTGTTGACTAAACTCCTCAACTGTCGGGACACGAGGTGCGTCACTTAGCTGGGATATTGTAGCAGGACGAGAGATAGAGGAATCCTCGAGAATAGTAGTAACCTAGCATGGTTCGTTCTCTTGTATTCGTAAAACTACATCACTGAAAACTTTATCTGGTCACTTTTCCATACATTGGCTTAGGTGTGTACGTCTGAAACCACAAGGACGGACCCAAAATTCTCTTCTGATATATCACCAGCATTTGCTTGCTGCCTTTAAACTATTAAAATGTACCATCGTGTATACTTCCGTTCTCCGAAATCCGCCTTTTTGTAATCGGGAAAATTCAAGCACAAGTGTGACAGTACGTCAGCGGTTCACTCGGTCATCATTGCAAGAATAAGATGCATCCTTGTGACTGACTTCTTTTCCACGGACGAGTTGTCATGTGCTCACGTGTGTGGTGTGAACGTCTACGTCATTCACCAAATTACGGACAAAATTAGTGCAATCGGTTGTTGTTAAAGCCGTATTCCAATCATGACGCTAATGCGTGCTGATCGGAACCCGGGTTAACAATTCACTGAATGATTGTGAGTACAAGTCAATTGACTAAACGATGGCCTAAAACTAGGTTAAGCCGGTCCACGGACCAAACGACCTGAGAACGGTATTGGTCAGTGTCTGTTATAAACATCGGTATCACGCGATTGGACGATCAATATGAACTGATGAACGAATGCGTACGTAGCAGTTGTCCGTCCCAGATTGTATTTAAATTCGTATCATGCCAATGAAATATTCAAATCACATAAAATTCTGTCAACATATTAGGAACATTCCTGTCATGTCTGGCCAAGGCGGATGATCGGTACGAGCGCCTCTTGACTAGTTCCAAACAATGATACGGATAAAGAACACGGCTGGAGAGACGACAGTCAGAGTGTATGGTTGATCATGTGGTGATACGCAAATTTAAATGGCAAACTGGGTGTAGGAGAAACGACGTGGTGATGCACCAATCAGATCGCGTCCTTGGCACCGATTGATCGACCGGAAGACAGCTGTCTGATTCAGCTTAGTTATCCAATCCGGAATCGATTCCCCTTTGGAAGTGGCGAACGCAATTGTGGTGTGACGCGGATTGATGGGTGGCGTGACGGGTTCTGTGCGCTCCCTCCCAACGATTCCAGTTAACAAGATTATGCAAATATACTCGATTGGGGATAAGATCTGCCTATCCGAATACGAAATTTTGTCACTATTGACCATCTCGATGTATCAGGGTTAATTGGGTCGCTGAAGTGCAAACCAAAAGCACTTCTTTCTATTATACCTCCGGCTCTATCTCGCACATGCACGCTCACACTACTGACACACGCCTTGGACATTGCAACAAGGAAGCTCTATGTATTACCACGGCGATCCAGACTTCCGTGACCGCAATCCATGCACGACCAGGTACAGTTTCATGTCATCCAATCACCGTTCATGAAGCTTGGCCAATGGTACACTGGGCGAATATGACTTCCGAGTTAGTGCTTATGATGCGTCAGCGCAAACGGTTATGTGATTGGAGGACGGTCGTTCAACGAATTATACGGCCTATTACCTTCTATAAAAAATGCTCTAATTCCATCAATAAACATAAGCATTTGCTACTATCAATTCCTCGTGTTATTCATTGGTTTCCGCAATTCGGGTTGAAGGCAGTTCAGGTCTGAGCAGTACACTACTGGTTTTCGTACTTCTACATTCAGTACTATTCCGATTATCACAATTACCCTTGAAGCCATCCGGATTAGCCGTTCTATCAGCAATGCCCTCTGAGGTACAAAATCTTTGCTTTTGGTCTCATTCAGTGGCTCACTTAAGATATCTGACTTTCTAAATCGGATTGTATTTTGTGATCCCGAGGCACACATGAGCCTTGCATGCAAATCACACGTGACTGGTTCATTTCATTTGTCGTTTATCACGTGATCTACTTCCTAAATACCCACACTGTTCTGTCACTGATGATTGGTGCATTGATAATATCTTTGTAAAGAGGCTACAAAACAATTAATAACAACAAAAATATTAAATCGATAATTTCAATGGTGTTTGTTTCATACATAGCGGTGTAGTCGAGAAAACGAAAATAAGTGTGTCTAGGCAGACAGTTTTATAAAAATATAAAGAAATATAAGTCCCAGGAGTCCGGTTTCATTTTTCTCAACAGCACAAATTTGTCAGGCCGGTTGTTTGTGATACACACGAAGTCTTCGTGGGGAGGTGGGTGGGTGGTGTCATGAATGGATGTGGATTTCAGTCATTCTGACGGAACGATTTCCCAGTTACCTCCTGTGAATGTTCATCCGACAATTGACACTGCTTGCTCCCCGAGATCAGCTTCACAACCAACCACACATCCGATCGGATGATCGTTTGGGCCGAAATCAGAGAACTGATTCAACGATTTTGCATAATTAGACAATAATAAATAGTATTCCAATTCAGTTTCTAATGCAACCAAAAATTGATTTATCCAGCAACCGTAACGTCGTTTTTCTTCCGCCTCATCGGTATACTGTCTCGCCTGTTCACGTTTCCATTGTGACCAACGTTGACTTATCCCGTTTGCGCTCACTGTGAGTTTGATTGCACCGTTCTGAATTTCGGCTATCACACTGTTCTTGACACGATCGTTACCGTCGTTTCTCAGCTGACTTACGATCTCATCATGCGCCAATTTATTCAATGGGGCCTCGCTTCGGTCTTCGTTTTCCTTCGATCGGTCCACTGTTGAATCGTTGGCCGTCAGATCGTACATGTAGATTGGAGACTTTTCGGTCCCGAGTATGAATCGTGTATTGTGTTGCATAAGTTTCATCAGATTGTGAAGCCAATAGCCATAACGGAGTGCTTTCTCTGCATCCGCAAAATAACCTCCCGTATATGTCAGCTGCCAACTCCTCCACTTTACATCTAGCATCTGGTCAACCATGGTGACAGTGATCACGTCCCCGTCGAACTTGACATCCACATACTTTTGCATTATTCTATTTTCAGCGTGGTCAGCTAATTGTATTCACTGGGTCGTGTTGACCAAGTTTTCCGCTTTTTATTTGGTTACCCTGTCAGTGCACGGCCCATTCATGTGTTTTTGTTTTTCTAATCTCTGCCTCCGTATGTAGGTGTGTGTGTGTGTCTGTGAGATTGGCCATTTCTCCGTCATCTCTGACAATCCTGTGTGTGTTTGTAGACTTCTTTTAGCGATGATTGGTTGTATACTCGTGTTGCTCTTCGCTTCCCTTAGTGGAACTGACAATTTGTTGTTCGCGCGCTCCGATATTGATCGGTATCTGGATAGCTTGTATTTGATTTGTTTGCCTCATCTGTTTCAATCGCCGAGAGTCAATAGTGTTATGAACAGTATATTGTTTGTTGTCAGTCCAGACTGGCGTTTTCCGAGCATTTTTCTTTAAGCTCCAACCAGTTTGACCTTTCTGATAGCTCTTGTGCCTTAGTATCTCCCTTCTTGTTAGGTGATTTGAGACTTGTTTCGATCGCACACAAACACACACACATACTTCATCGATTGATGAAAAAAATGGGCTGCTAAAATTACGCATATGTGGATCTAGTGTTCACAATTATTCTGTTGGAAAATAATTCTTGCAAATATGCTGAATCAAGAACTGATCAAGGTGGGGAAAACGTGATGAATCTCAGCACACGGCTGACAGGGGCAATTCGGATAACCAATCAAGCCATTCGCAGTCAGAGGTTTCGTATGTCATACGATCAACTCGTCCCGTAAATGAGATGTGAGCTGACAAGCTAGGAATAACTGTACAGCTGATTAGACCTGGTTGGATCTCACCAGCAGTACGAAGCCATCGACTGGGGGATCGAACCCGGAACCTTACAGGCAGGACGTAAGCATACTACCCACTGGGCCACCGGGCAGCTGATCTTTGCGAGCTAATTATGGGCATCGCAATATTACGAGTAAGATGAATTTATCAACCCAAGTGAGATTTGAATCCAGGTGCCCCCTTGATTAGCGGATTCAGATTGTCTGTGCACGAAATAGCACAGATCACCGGGACAAGCTTGTGGTAAACGATGAACATCGCTCAGCCTCGCGCAATCGCTTTTTCAACTTTTCAACGCGTTCCGATATCAACCTGTGATTTTCAATTACTACATGTACGTTGTATTGCACGGTAGAATGACTAGATTCTAAAGCAAAGGGCTTATTGAACGGACTGAATACGGGGGTAGATTAATAGTGATCATAAAAAATAATAATAACAATAAGAGTACCACCACATGGGTCGGCATTGTTATAGACCTCATAGTCACGGCTGTTATCCTTGTGGATGTCGTACACTTTGGGAACCAAACGTAAGCTGATTTGGTCAATTGAATTGAATTTACATGTAGAAGGGAGCTAGAACTAAATACATTCAAAAATATTAAGGAAACATCATTTAAATGCTAGTGAGACATCCTGATTTGATATACACAGTCGAATTATCATTATGAGAACTACTTACAAACGGTTGCTTTACTTGTCCCCCAGGGTTTTTTGCACAACTGGAGCGATTTACGGAGCACGGATAGAGAGGAGGGGGGGAGGAGAGACGAAGTATGTCATAAATGTGTATTGTTTCGTGTACTACTGCTACCGATTTCGAAACTGAGTGAATTTCTTCTCAGAATATTGTATACCGTAAAAGTCAGTACATACACAAGTAGTGAATTAAGTAGTTATTCTATTTCCAGTATGTAAATGCAAACGTAGCCAGTGCGTTAGCCCGTGAGTAAGCAGTGCGTCACCTCGCAGACAGGCAAGCCCTAAACTGGTGTAACCGCTGCCAAAAAGTGTCTTGGACAGTCAACGAACCAATCAGTGCGGACAGGTCAATGGTGACCTGTGATTCGCTAAGGCGGATCGACCTTGTAGTTGAGGCAGTCCGCATGTGGTGCGTACGTGTGTGTGGAGGCAGGCTGCAACGGTCAGTCACGTGATGTGCGGTAAACGTTTCACCCAACTGAGGGCCACAACACAGAAGGGTGTAGGGAAGTGATTTAGCTAGATTTCGCAAACGGAAATCACCCATGATGATGATGAGGAGGAGGAAATGCGTGAACTTCAATGACAGAATGTGATACACGATTTGAAGTAGTGTTCATTGGTTGATACAGTGGATGAAGAAAAGCGGTACACCACACCGATCAAGCCCATATCGTGTTGAGACGGTCGCAATTTACACCACAGTAAGTTAGAAGCCGCAGTAGGATAATCAAATGCCTCACATTGTAGGTTGTAGCTTAAATAGAGTAGCCAAGTTTCAGTAACTGCAATAATGTCCCATTGAGCAGTTTGGTAAAACAGTTCCACCTCTGAGCATGTGCTAAAGAAACATTGGGAATTTGTGTAGAAACAATGCAGTTGATGATGGAGCAGAAACTCGTTAGGGTACAAAGGGCATCGTGGTTGTCTTGGAGAAGTTTTTGGGAGAAGAGTCTGTTGAATCTAGTCTAATATTTGCGGGAAGGAACATAAAATCGGCAGGAATCCAACTTGTATGAAGGCGATATTTTCTGCCAAAGAACCACTTTTTGGTCCTGGGTTGTGCGATACAGTGTCAGAGATTCATGCAAATCGGCATTCGAAGCGGAGCTTTCCGATCGCCTGTCAGTTCAACCGCAAGCCGAAGGACTTAATGAACACTGGAAACAAATCAAGGAAGCTATGGAGATATCGATAAAAACAACATCGGACCCTGCCACAACCTCAAAA